CTATATTAGAAGGATCATGGATGGTGAGCAGACCACAGTCTGGAAAGCAATGGCCAAGACTCCTGCCTCTATTGTGTTAATCATTTATACATTCATATCAGTCTGGTTTGTTGGTGGCCTGACTGTCTTCCATCTTTATCTTATCGGCACAAACCAGGTAATATATTCTTCTTCACAGCTGGGGCATTTCAGATGTTTTCCCTTCCTTTTTTTTTTCTTTCGTATCCAAAGAATTTTCCTGCTTCAGTTCTCTAAATGATTCGAACTCGTGAAGGCCTTCAATTTCTAGGATTAAAGTACTTGTTTTTGATACTTGACTCTTCTATGTGCTTGCAGTCGACATATGAGAACTTTAGATATCGATATGATCGGCGGATCAATCCCTTTGACAAAGGTGTACTCCGTAACTTCTTAGAGATATTCTGCACCAGTATTCCTCCATCCATGAATAGATTCAGGTCCAAAGTACAGAAAGAACCCGAGATACCAGCTCGTGAAGTAGCTGGTGGTTTTATTAGTCCGAACTTGGAGAAAACTATGAGCGACTTAGAAATGGGAAGGAAACCAGCTTGGCGTGAGATTGCAAGAGGAAGCGGTGATTTTGAAGGACAACCTAGAAATGATAGTCAGTTAGATAAGGATGAAGAGCTCTCGGCTGCATCCCCAGAGCTGAGCAACTCCACCTTGGCTGAGGGGCGTAGTATCCTACATCCCAGACGCTCTAGTTGGGGAAGAAGAAGTGGAACTTTGAACATACCACCTGATGTAATTGCCATGGCATCTGAAATTGGAGAGTCTAATCGGACTACTGTCAGTGATAGTGCTTACCGGACTGACTACCAGCAATAGTAGCTGATCTGGTTGCTGTTTAAATTATTGTAGAAGAACTGACAAATAGAGATCTTAAGCCAGAGGATGATAGAATCAATGGATGGGATCTAATTATCCTTGAGGCGTGCTGTTGTGTGTCTAATTCTATTTTTTTTTTCTTTCTTTTTGATAGTTATTTGATGTGTGTTTAATCTTTTTGCGATAAGGTTGAAAAATGTGCTTAACCTTGCAAC